GGCAGAAATAAGTTCCCCGCACAAGCCCGCTCATTTACCCTCACCGGTGAGGGCAAAGGAGCGGCGTGTGCAGTTTTTACCGCGCCTCGGGCAGAAATCAGCTCTCCGGAGAGGGCCCTCAATGGCGAGGGCACATGAGCGGGGTCCGTTTGGCCAGCTTTTACTCTGCCACGGACAGAAAATCAGCGCGCCGAAGAGGCCCGCTCATTGGCCTTCACCGGTGAGGGCAAATGAGCGGGGTCTGTGTCTGTTCATTCAGTTTATATCGTGAAATCAGGATGCTGGAGAGGCCGCTCATGTGCTGTTCTCGGTGAGGGCAAATGAGCGGGGTCCGTTTGGTCAGCTTTTACTGTGCCACGGGCAGAAAATCAGTACGCCGGAGAGGCCCGCTCATTTGCCTTCATATGTGAGGGCAAATGTCTGTTTGCTCAGGTTTTATCGTGCCCTGGGCAGAAATCAGCACCCCGGAGAGGCCCGCTTATTTGCCGTCACCGGTGAGGGCAAATGAGCGGGGTCTGTTTGTCGAGTTGTTTTTTTACCGTGCCACGGGCAGAAATCAGCACCTCGGAGAGGCCCGCTCATGTGTGTCAATGATAAGGGCAAATGAGCGGGGTGCGTTTTTTTTCAGTTTTGCCTCAGAAATCAGCTCTCCGGAGAGGGCCGCTCATTTGCCCTCAATGGCGAGGGCAAATGAGCGGGGTCTGTTTGGTCAGCTTTTACTGTGCCACGGGCACTCATGTGCTGTCACCGGTGAGGGCAAATGAGCGGGGTCCGTTTGTCGAGTTTTTTACTGTGCCACGGGCAGAAATCAGCACCTCGGAGAGGCCCGCTCATTTGCGTCAATGATAAGGGGTCCGTTTTTTTCAGTTTTGCCTCAGAAATCAGCTCTCCGGAGAGGGCCGCTCATTTGCCTTCAATGGCGAGGGCAAATGAGCGGGGTCTGTTTGGTCAGCTTTTACTGTGCCACGGGCAGAAAATCAGCACGCCGGAGAGGCCCGCTCATTTGCCCTCACCGGTGAGGGCAAATGAGCGGGGTTTGTTTGCTCAGTTTTTATCGCGCCCTTGGCAGAAATCAGCACTCGCTTATTTGCCTTCACCGGTGAGGGCAAATGAGCGGGGTCTGTTTGTTGAGTTTTTTTTACCGTGCCACGGGCGGAAATCACCACCTCGGAGAGGCCCGCTCATTTGCGTCAATGGTGAGGGCAAATGGGCGGGGTCCCTTTGTTCAGTTTTTACCGTGCCTCGGGCAGAAATATGTTCCCCGCAGAGGCCTGCTCATTTACTTTCACCGGTGAGGGCAAATGAGCGGGGTCTGTTTGCTCAGTTTTTATCGCGCCCTTGGCAGAAATCAGCACTCGCTTATTTGCCTTCACCGGTGAGGGCAAATGAGCGGGGTCTGTTTGTTGAGTTTTTTTTACCGTGCCACGGGCGGAAATCACCACCTCGGAGAGGCCCGCTCATTTGCGTCAATGGTGAGGGCAAATGGGCGGGGCCCAGTTTTTACCGTGCCTCGGGCAGAAATATGTTCCCCGCAGAGGCCCGCTCATTTACTTTCACCGGTGAGGGCAAATGAGCGGGGTGCGTTCGTGCAGTTTTTACCGCGCCTCGGGCAGAAAGCAGCTCTCCGGAGAGGGCCGCTCATTTGCCCTCAATGGCGAGGGCAAATGAGCGGGGTCCGTTTGGTTAGCTTTTACTGTGCCACGGGCAGAAAATCAGCACGCCGGAGAGGCCCGCTCATTGGCTCTCACCGCTGAGGGCAAATGAGCGGGGTCTGTTCATTAAGTTTATATCGTGAAATCAGGACGCTGGAGAGGCCGCTCATGCGCTGTCACCGGTGAGGGCAAATGAGCGGGGTCCGTTTGTTGAGTTTGTCACCAAGCCACGGGCAGAAATCAGCACCTCGGAGAAGCCCGCGCATTTGCGTGAATGATGGGGGCAAACGAGCGGGGTGCGTTTTTTTCAGTTTTGCTTCAGAAATCAGCTCTGCGGAGATGGCCGCTCATTTCCTCTCAATGGCGAGGGCAAATGAGCGGGATCCGTTTGGTCAGCTTTTACTGTGCCACGGGCAGAAAATCAGCACGCCGGAGAGGCCCGCTCATTTGCCCTCATATGTGAGGGCAAATGAGCGGGGTCTGTTTGCTCAGTTTTTCTCGTGCCCTGGGCAGAAATCAGCACCCCGGAGAGGCCCGCTTATTTGCCGTCACCGGTGAGGGCAAATGAGCGGGGTCTGTTTGTTGAGTTTTTTTTTCCGTGCCACAGGCAGAAATCAGCACCTCGGAGAGGCCCGCTCATGTGCGTCAATGATAAGGGCAAATGAGCGGGGTGCATGACTGTGCCTCGCAAATCAGCTCTCCGGAGAGGGCCGCTCATTTGCCTTCATTGGTTCCCAGCAGAGGCCCGCTCATTAACCCTCACCGGTGAGGGCAAATGAGCGGGGTGCGTTTGTTCAGTTTTTACTGCGCCTCGGGCAGAGAGGCCCGCTCATTTGCCCTCAATGGCGAGGGCAAATGAGCGGGGTCTGTTTGTCGAATTTCTATCGTGTCTCGGGCAGAAATCAGGACGCTGGAGAGGCCCGCTCATGTGCAGAAATCAGCACCTCGGAGAGGCCCGCTCATTTGCGTCAATGATGAGGGCAAATGAGCGGGGTGCGTTTTTTCAGTTTTGACTGTGCCTCAGAAATCAGTTTTTCGGAGAGGGCCGCTCATTTGCTTCAATGGTTCCCCGCAGGGTCCGCTTATTTGTTTTCACCGGTGAGGGCAAATGAGCGGGGTCCGTTTGTTCAGTTTTTACCGTGCCTCGGGCAAAAATAAGTTCCCCGCAGAGGCCCGCTCATTTACCCTCACCGGTGAGGGCGAATGAGCGGGGTGCGTTTGTTTAGCTTTTACCGTGCCTCGGGCAGAAATCAGCTCTTTGGAGAGGCCCGCTCATTTGCCCTCACCATTGACGCAAATGAGCGGGCCTCTCCGAGGTGCTGATTTCTGCCCGTGGCACGGTAAGAAAAAACTCAACAAACAGACCCCGCTCATTTGCCCTCACTGGTGACGGCAAATAAGCGGGCCTCTCCGGGGTGCTGATTTCTGCCCAGGGCACGATAAAAACTGAGCAAACAGACCCCGCTCATTTGCCCTCACCGGTGAAGGCAAATGAGCGGGCCTCTCCGGCGTGCTACTTGGCTGCCCGTGGCATAGTAAAAGCTGACCAAACAGACCCCGCTCATTTGCCCTCGCCATTGAGGGGAATTGAGCGGCTTTTTCGGAGAGCTGATTTCTGAGGCAAAACTGAAAAAAACGCACCCCGCTCATTTGCCCTCACCATTGACGCAAATGAGCGGGCCTCTCCGAGGTGCTGATTTCTGCCCGTGGCACGGTAAAAAAGCTCAACAAACAGACCCCGCTCATTTGCCCTCACCGGTGACGGCAAATACGCGGGCCTCTCCGGGGTGCTGATTTCTGCCCAGGGCACGATAAAAACTGAGCAAACAGACCCCGCTCATTTGCCCTCACCGGTGAGGGCAAATGAGCGGGCCTCTCCGGCGTGCTACTTGGCTGCCCGTGGCATAGTAAAAGCTGACCAAACAGACCGCTCATTTGCCCTCGCCTTTTAGGGGAAATGAGCGGCCATCTCCGAAGAGCTGATTTCTGAGGCAAAACTGAAAAAAAAAAACGCACCCCGCTCATTTGCCTCATCATTCACGCAAATGCGCGGGCCTCTCCGAGGTGCTGATTTCTGCCCGTGGCACGGTGAGAAACTCAACAAACGGACCCCGCTCATTTGCCCTCACCGGTGACAGCACATGAGCGGCCTCTCCAGCGTCCTGATTTCACGATATGCGTCAGTTTCGGACGGCTCCTCGGACACGGACGCCTCGGGTCGGACAGCTCGGACGGATCGGACTGGTCGGACAGCTCAGATTTGGACGGCTCGGACACGGACGCCTCGGGTCGGACAGCTCGGACTGGTCGGACTGGTCGGACAGCTCAGACTCGGGGTCAGATTCGGACGGCTCGGACACAGACACCTCGAGTCGGACAGCTCGGACTGCATGGTCGGACTGGTCGGACAGCTCGGACTGACGTCTCGGACAGACGGCTCGGACACGGACGCCTCGGGTCGGACGGCTCGGACACTCCGACAGCTCGGGACGGATCAGACTGGTCGGACCCTGTTCAGTTTGGATGGTTTGGACGGACCTTGGAAAACCTTGAGTGTCTATTCGGCGAGCAAGGCCCCACCTTGCAAAACCTTGAGCGTCTATTTGGCGAGCTTCCCTTTCTATTGATTGACTTTTGAAAGGAGCCTCCTTTTCCAAATAGACCTCAAGTGTCCATCTTACCCCCCCCTCCCCCCCCAAAAACCTACGTAATAGACGTCGGGCGGGGGGGGGTTAGGGGGGGGTTATCCTCTATCCTTTAGTAAGTATCCGACACGCCGAGCAATGTCGGCGGACTTAGTCAACTTGTTCGACAAATGAAGCCAACTTGGATGCCAGACTTGTCCTGCAAAAAAGACGGCAAAACACCCTAATCCAAGCCACATACTGTGGATGGACAAAACCCTGCACGAGTCGGGGTTGACACACCCTTATGAATATTGGCCACCTACCAACTGGTGCGCGATTTTGTCTAGCGAGCATGGTATCGCTTCAAACCATCCAAAACCAATTGGTGGCTTTCCTATTGGTTTCCCTTTGAAACCATTGAAAGCCCAAAACAAGTGCAGGAAAAGTGGCAGTTTCAATTGAAACCAGTCAAATGGAACTTAGGGGGAAATCCAGTGCCCGTGACCACAAGTTTTGCTTGAATATATCGCTAACTGATAGGTGGAAGTGCCAACCTGAAGGGATCAGACCTGTCCTGCATTTCCCGTTTCGGAACCTCCAAACGTGGCGATCGTTTCAATGGACACCACTGGTCAAATGGAAATCTTCGCTTGAATCTACCGCTACGCAGACCGAAGCGCGTCCCCAGTTGCACCGAAGGGTTGCCGACCAGTTTCAACAGGTCTGCGAGCTCCTGGACGAGCGCGAGGCGCTGAAGCGCTTCATCGCGCGGGCGCACAGATCGCTCGTGTCGTCCGTAGTCGCCCCTCGGTTTCGTCGTTTGGGCGGTTGGGTTCGACCAGTGTCGTTTTTGGGGTTTCGGGGAAGGGAGTATATATAGGGCCGATATGATGCCGCGGGGGAGGGAGTAGGTATGATGTGAGAGATGTGCGACGTTTTGCCACTTTTTGCCAGAGATCCGGATGAGATGCTCGTCCTGCCATGTGTTCGCTCTGATTTGCATCCATCGAGTTTCTGGGCACGCTGCTCTCTTCGCCAAAAAGGAGCTTCAGACCAAAGCTTTTGGGTTCCATGTGAAGTGGAGTGACCTGGGAATTGCGGTTTCTCAAAGGATGGGCGAACGGCGTGGGCAAAGTGGAGATTGGGTTGTTCCCAGTCATAGCGACCAAAGGCTTTGCCTGTATGACGGCCTTTATACAATATTTTCCTCACTTCCTGAGTTCATGAACTTTCAACTTGGGAAGATGGGGAGACCAGTCAAGCGGCAAACAAGACGTGGTTTTACGTTTTTCGGCCCATCCACTCAGAGAAGATCTTCGAGTCGGAGCCCTTATGGCTCGGTGCAACAATGGGAGACACCAGAAAACTCGTTTTCCCGGAAGGCTTGTCTTATTCCCTTATCTTGGTGGTTCCCAGCCATCGCCCTAGGTTTTCAGCAATTTAAAGCCCATGGCGTTTTTTTTTTTTTTTTTTAAGTGGGTTATAAGGCTTACTATCCACTTTCTTGCTGGTGCTCAGGAAATGAGGGAATGACCCCAGGGTGTGGCCCCCGTTTTCAGGAAGCCACCAGTTGGAGGGTTCCATCTAACTCGTTCCCCGAGAAAGCGCGTGTCGTCGCACACAGGCCAAGGGCCAGCGGGTGTCGTCGCCTCGAGGCGTTTCCGCCGGGGGTGGCGGTCGATCGTCTTCTTTGGGAGACCCCGGTTGTTTCTTTTTGGGGGGTTGAGGGGGATGTGCCCTAAAACGCAATAGAAAGATGAGATGGACTGAACCCCCCCCAAGAAAAAGTATGATGCCACCGAACAAAGACTTCCATCAAAATTGGAACCGGAACTATGTCAATAAGTGATCCCTCGTGGATGTTTGTTGATTGGGCGGAAGGAGAACCCTAAATTTAGGTCAACCACCAAATTGCTGCTCGGTTGTGGTTGCCCCAGCAAAGCCATCCTTTTCAAACGCTCCGCTTTTCGTTTCATAGTGCTGACGAAACTGTAAGCAGCATAGGTGTCCTGTTCAGATGGGTTCCAGCGGTTGAGATGGCTGTGGGTCAAAAGCAATGGTACCATTTTGGACCAGGTGCACCACCCATTTTAGTCTATTTTAGTGGGGATTGGGATGTTCACTGGGGGTACGATTTGGATTTTGACCCATGGCGAGATGGGTCTTATGAGCCATTTGCCAGAGGGACTCATCTAAGACGAACCAGCAAGCCACTATGGCAGGCAGGGTCTGTCAGCCAGGGGACCGAAGGCTCATACGGGTGGCTCGTTCATGTTGAGGTTGGACCCGCAAAACGGCCACAGGGTTTTCCCTTTTGTCTCCCTTGAGCCAAGCAAACCGTGGCTGCCCTTAGAAAGCGACCACACCCATACGTTTTTTTTTTTTAAGACTCCCGACTTTTCTGGGGTGCCCCTCTCGTGATCTTCGGAACCTCCGCTTGAGCCTGTCGTCTCGTCTGCCGTCTGATAATCCCTTTGCCATGACTTTGGTCGGACTCCCACCGTCGACCTAGGGTTTCTTGCCTCAAAGGGAAACAAAGAAGGATACCATCATTTTGCGGTCTATTCAAAAATACACCCATACTGATGGGCTTGTTCAGGTACTGGTTCCTGTCAGAGTCCTTTTGGTTGCCCGGCGACCACCCTAGCGATTTCAAGTGTCCTCCACAAATGTTGATAGAATTCTACTGCGTGAAATCCTTCCGATTCTGCAAAAGCACATGCGAAACGGTTTAAGCCGCTGCAAGCAAGCAAGCTCATGGCACGCGGGGAGCTTTGGAGGCCGTCCTGTCTCTTCGACTTCCTCGTCCCGTGCATCCTTAGGCGTGGTTGCAGAAGTGCGGCCACGCAAGGAATCCAGGTTTGCTGTTGGCGAAAAGGGCTTTTGGAAGAAAGGAAGTTGCACCCCTTTTGCATCGAAGATCTGCTTTTTGCATTGGGGTGCAACAAGTCCCAGTGGGGATGCAACAAGTTAGGGGGATGCAAAATATCCAGGACGCCCTCAGGACGCTTTATGGGGGATGTTTGGCGAAAAGGGCCTTTCAAGCAAGAGTTGGGGCTTTTGCCCCCCTTTTGCACCGAAGATCTTCTTTTTTGCAACAAGCTCTTAGACGCTTTGTGGGGGGATGCAACCAAAGTTTTAGTCTGGGTTTTGGGTCCTTCTCGTATCTGAAAAAATCCCTGGAAGATACTAGTCTAGAACCCCATTCACTTCCTGAGGGCGGAATTCGATGCGAGAAAATTGCATGGCCCCTGCCATGGCAAATGCACAATGGTTCAAGCTGGAACCTCGCAAATGAGATCGTTTCAGAGTTGAAGGTCCATGAGATGCTGTGGATGGACGAAATCCATTTCGCACCCCTTTGAAACCATGGGAAACCATTGTTCTTAGGTGGCGCGAAATGTATGTCGCCCATCCACAGTATGGACCGGAGGATAAACCAATTCGGTATGGCGCTCTCGAGCTGAGGTGAAGGCCCGAAGGAAACAAACTGCATTCGGGCTTTCTCTGGAACAAACCCTCAAGGGGAAAGTTGGGGAGTTTTCCCAGCTTTCTAACTCCAAGGCTGCACAGAACACAAAAAGAGAAAAATCGCACATCCCGCTAATAGGGTTCGCGCGCGTCCGCTTTTCTTTGTTCTTGACCTTCAAGGTGCTCGTTCTCATGGAGAGAGGGGGCCTATCGCCTCAGCTAGAAATCATTAGGGGCTTAGTGTTGACCTCGGATTAGTAGTAGGGTGCACCCCAATAGTTAATGTTGACCCCATATTGCTCAACTCCGGTCTATTAATTAACAGGGGGGTGTCCCTGGGTTAGTGGGGAATCATCACTGTTGGAGGGGAACACCCTCCTATTGATATCCGGAGGGCTCCACTTTTTGACTAACCCAAGGTAGACTTAAACCTAGGGGGTCTACTTTTGGAGGACATGAACCACCCTGGGCTTAAGTCTACCTTGGGTTAGTCAAAAAGTGGAGCCCTGATATGCGGTATTTCCTCGCATTAAACGGGTAGGTCCCCCGAAAGAAAATTGCCGCAACCTGGAGAGGCGTCAACGTGGACCGCCTCCTGGAGGCGAGATGCCGATTTTTGGTCGGCGTGGCTTTGTATCGAGGGACACACTGTGGATGGACGAAATCCGTTCGCACCACTTGGGTTTTATGGGAAACCGTTGTTTGCTGGTATTTTCCGGGTTTCTCAGGTGGTGCGAACGGATTTCGTCCATCCACAGTACCCTGACATGTATTTGGGTGTTTCTCCAAAATTGGAATCCCTTTTTTGGATTGGGGAAGCCAACAGGACACCAACCTTAAGCCGAAGGAATTGGACCATGCGCTTGCTGGACATGGTTTACAGGAACATGGGTATCCCTTTGTAAGGTTTGGCGAGAAATGGATGTCTTCCACTGGTTCAGATTGGTTTCATGAGCCATCTAAGGGCCGTCGAATTGTCCAAAACGCAGCCTATGTGCAGAAACGTTGTTGGCATGAGTTTTAGTTTGTGATAAGATCCGTTTCCTGCATGGGCGACCCGCTCGTGCGTTCCTCCTTTCCACCTGGTCCCGACCTCTGCTTTCAATTTGCTTAAGTTGATTTTCCATTCTCCCCGTTGGTTTGCACACGGGGTAAATTTCACTGACTGGTGTATAGTCATTGGCACGGCTAGCAAGTGGAAGACGGCCAATGTCATTCCTGGGTATTTGGCCATCAATATGGGGAACTCCCTGAACAGTGGTTGGTGGACGTACATCCCACCTAACCCATGTGCACCACTGGGTTTGGGAACCATCAAGATGCTCAGCCCATTCTAGGCAACTTTCCTTCAAGGAGCTTGAAAGACCAGGGCGAGGACGGGAACACCCAAGTTCTTCCCGACTTCTTTTGCAGTTCTCATGTCAGGTCTGCTGGAACCTATAGACCTCGTCTCGACTTTTCTAGAGTCCTTCTCTCTTCACCGGCGCCGCCGTCCGCATGTTTTTCCCCACACGCTCTATAGGTCCAGAAAACGCTGCTGGGAGGAAGGTTTTAAAGGGAGCCCAAAAGCAGCGACGCATTTGTTTGGGGGTGCCCCGACTTTTGAGACCTTCGCCAAGTCTGGGGATGCGACTCGTGTGCAAGGCGAAGAACGGGGCTCACAAGAACGGGGATACTCCACAGGATCCGCGTCCAATCCGAGCCGCGTGTGCCTTTCCATGGATTTTTTTGGAACCCAACCTTTTCTTTCTCATTCGATTGGCCCTTTGCTGCCTTCGATTTCCTCAGAATCCATTTGGCCCTTTTTGCCCTTCGTTTTCGCGAGCACCATCCAAAAGGGCACCGAGCCTCAACAAAGAAGAGGCATGTGTCCTGAATTTCATCTCATAAGGGAGTTTTCCAACAGATTCCATCAAACTGTGCGCCTTGGGGTGGACTTGGGGTGGGGCGGGTTGGGTTGGGGTGAGGTTCGGGTGTTTTAGGTTGGGTTGGAGTCAGTGCTAGGGTCACTATAGAACAATAGTTGAGCTTGGTCAAGACCAAATTCCTTCACCGTGTCACCATCTTGCCGGAGTTCTAGCATTGGTGTGTTTCTTGACGTGCGCTTGACCTCCTGCGCGCCGGTGGATGGTTGCCACCTCAGTCCTGTAGCTGGAAGCGCACGCTGAAGGGCGGCCATGTTTTGCTCACCTTCCGATTGAAACCATCAAAACCATGGGGGTTCATATGGGTATGGTCAAAATAAAATCACCAGGGACCGCAGGTTTTAGTCTTTGGTTCCATTTACCAGAGTTCCATTTTCGGCACACATTGTTGACCCACAGCCATATAACCACCATTGTTTACCGTTCAGGAATGTTATCATCTAAGTTGGGTCCCGCGTTACGCCATTCTTTTCATGGAATTTGCTTGAAGTCTAGGCGGTAGTTTGTTGTGCTGGCTTGAGGTTCTCTTCAGCTAGTTGCGGAGCAACGGCGAAGAGCCAGTATTGTTCTGGCGTGGAGAGGATCCTTCCACTTCGGCATCCTCTTCCCTACATGGGTGTTGCTGAAAATTAGGCATCCTTGCAAGTGGTTGGTGTCCTTCTGGTTTCCCTGACAACCATCCAAAAAGCGGACGTCTATTTTGAGGCACACCCAAATTGACCGCCGTCAAAGAAGAACCTACCTTAATCAAGTCCCAGGCTTCTCGAAGGAGAGGACACTGGCGAGAGCCCAATTTTCCCATGTCCTTTCTGGAGAACAAAGAGAGTTGTCCTTGTCTCCAAATGGACCCCTTAGATGTGGTTTCCCTTTGGCATGTCTTTGACCCAAGCCCCTTATCGAATCTCTCGCTCCGTGACCTCATGGACTCGGCCTGCCCCCAAAGGGCCCCAAGGGGCCATTTTTCCTGGGGCGGAGTGGTCCGTGGCGGGTACTTCGCTTCGGTTTTGGTTTGCTTCCCCGAAAATCCGGGAACTTCTGGGAAATTCTGGGGGAAAAAGGCTGGGGAACAGGGCGGGGAACAGGCCACCCACCAGAAAACTGCGGCACGCACCTGGATCATCAAATGACCAAAAACTCAGCTTTCGGATTCGTCAGGAGGACTGCGAGGGGATGCTCCAAGAGGCTCGAAATCGGACGTCGGGGGGGTTGGACCGAGAGTCTTCTTACATTTGCCAACGAAGTTGTTTGTTCCGTTCATTGTTTTGAACAAACACTGGTAGATTGTTTTTTGCAGGGCAGCTCTGGAAGTATGTCCTTCATTTTTTGGAGACTTCAGCAAATGGGTTGGTCTGGGCGAGTTGAGCGGAGTGGTGGCTTCTTCGAACTCGGTTGTGCGCTCCCAGCCAGCACCCGGGGTCTTCAAGCGTCGGATTCCCCGCAAAACCCAAAACATCTCCCCGTTAATGAACCGGGGTTGATTCATCCTGTGGATGGTTGCGAAATCCATTTCGCACCACTTTGAAAGTATCGGAAACCATAACGTTTGTTGATGCTTACCAGGGAAAACATCATTCCAGGGTTTCTTAGGTGGTGCAGGATTTCGTCCATTCACAGTATAGGGTCACCATTAGATGCAGTTTCCGCTTGTTAGCACCCGGGTGCCAAGAACTGCCTTTTCTCATGTCCAAAATCCCAAGTGCTGTCCAAATTGCAGTGGTTGGGACCCGGGTGGAAAGGCACCCATCGTTAGAACCCATTCAATGGGCATGAGTCACAGTGAAAAAGCAGGCGCACAGCAGAGCCTTTGGGAGCTGTGAACTCGCAACAAAACAAGGTGTCATGCCACTACAGGTTGCATATTTTGACCGCACACCTCCAGAGCTGCGTTTGATACATTTGCGATCCCCCCCAATCTGTCGGATTACTTTGGATCCCTCACATGCCCGCGGCATGCTTCGATGCTCAACGGATCCAGAGTAATCCCAAAAATGGTGGGCAATGATGGGCTCTGCCCGAGCTCCTTAAGTTGCCAAAAAGCGGGTACCCAAAAACAGACACACCCACATGCGCGCAGCTTCCTCTCTGTCATTAGTAGACACATCAGGACCCTATCCCCCAGAAAGGTTCCCATGATTCTTCGTTCAGAACACGTCTAAGAAGGACAACAAGTGATCCCCTGCCACTTGTTGCAAACCGACCGCTGGTTTTGAAACCTTGGCGATTTCTCCGATCATCTTTGCCTCTCTGCCAGGACAGCCCCGAGTCCGGCCGGGGTGCCGAAATCGCGCTTCTGCAGTGCTAACAACGCGTTAGGGAGGGGGGAGGGGGTGTGGGTTGGCTTTTTGATGCTCTGGAACGAATGTGCGGGAGGGGGAGACGGGTGTGTCTTTTTTCAGGTTGGACCCATTGGTGGCTCTCCTTTTCGTAGTCCTTAAAAGAGACAAGCGCAACAAGGGGTACCCTCAAGAAATGACACAATCGTATCCACGAAATCGAATAAAGTCAACCTGGTGTAAAAATAAGAGGAGGGGGCTCTTATTGATCCTGGGTTCCCATCTCCCCCAGTAAAGCAGGGACCCTCCTAATCTGCAGGAGGTGTTTTGAGAGAAAAGCCAAAGGTGGAATGCACATTTGTAGGGATCGCCCATGTTTGAACACGCCCTCCAGTTTGTCACGAGGCGCGCGAGCCCGCTGCAGCAGCCAAGAGCTGCTGGGGGCCTTGGCTGGGGCTGTGTGACCAAAAGGATCCATTAGAAGCTGGGGTAGACTTAGGATACATTTTACAGTTTACCAGTGACTTAAAGTGAAGCAAACAATAACATTTACATCCTATAACCTGATCATGCAAGCAAGAAGCAAGACTATGCCTGAGGTTCCACCATCATGAAAAGAATGGCAAGGACCCAATTTAGATGCGACATCCTTAAGTAAATAATGGTGGTTATATGAACGCACCCTGACAAACCCGACACACAGGCAGGCAGGCAGGCAGGCAGGCAGGCAGGCAGGCAGGCAGGCAGGCAGGCAGGCAGCAAGCAAGCAAGCAAGCAAGCAAGCAAGCAAGCAAGCAAGCAAATAAACACACAACCACAAGCCACAAGCACACAACCACCCAAACAAACAATCGAGCAAACGAGGAAAAAGCAAACAAAATAAGTGAGCAAAATAATGATAATAATTGTACAAATAAGAAGCCAACCAACCAACCAACCAACCCAACCCAACCCAACCCAACCCAACCCAACCCAACCCAACCCAACCCAACCCAACCCAACCCAACCCAACGCAACGCAACCCAACCCAACCCAACCCAACCCAACCCAACCCAACCCAACCCAACCCAACCCAACCCAACCCAACCCAACCAACCAACTACCCAAGCAAGCAAGCAAGCAAGCAAGAAAGCAAGAAAGCAGGCAATCAAGCAATGAAGCAACCAAGCAACCAAGCAACCAAGCAACCAAGCAACCAACCAACCCAGCAACCCAGCAACCAAGCAACCCAGCAACCAAGCAACCAAGCAACCAAGCAACCAAGCAACCAAGCAACCAAGCAACCAAGCAACCAAGCAACCAAGCAACAAACAACCAAGCAACCAAGCAACCAAGCAACCAAGCAACCAACCAAGCAACAAGCAACCAAGCAACCAAGCAACCAAGCAACCAAGCAACCAAGCAACCAAGCAACCAAGCAACCAAGCAACCAAGCAACCAAGCAACCAAGCAACCAAGCAACCAAGCAAGCAAGCAACCAAGCAACCAAGCAACCAAGCAACCAAGCAACCAAGCAACCAAGCAACCAAGCAACCAAGCAACCAAGCAACCAACCAAGCAACCAAGCAACCAAGCAACCAAGCAACCAAGCAACCAAGCAACCAAGCAACCAAGCAAGCAACCAAGCAACCAAGCAACCAAGCAACCAAGCAACCAAGCAACCAAGCAACCAACCAAACCAAGGAACAAACGAACGATCGAACGCACGAGCGAACGAACGCGCGAACGAATACACAAACAAACAAACAGGCAGAACGAACGAACAGCCGAACGAATGAACGAGCAAAAGCACCAGCAAGCAGACAGACAGACAGACAAGACAAGACAAGACAAGACAAGACAAGACAAGACAAGACAAGACAAGACAAGACAAGACAATTCAAGACAAGACAAGACAAGACAAGACAAGACAAGACAAGACAAGACAGACAGACCGACAGACAGACAGACAGACAGACAGCCAAACACACAAATAAAAGCAAACACACACACACACAGAGGCACACATCTTCCCTGGAGCGCTTTGCACAGATCCAATCCATCTGAGGCTGCGGCAGCTTAAGCGGCAGGGGTACGCGGCCACGCGCGCCGCCATGGCGCCGGCTGGGGTGCCCGGTTCGCTTGGGGCGCGGTCTTGGCGCTTGGCCGGTGCTAAGAGGGGATTCAGTGCCGTGAAATGGGTGGTTGTCCTGGCGATTCCCAGTGGTTCTTGTAGTTTGTTTTTTTTACTGGGATGAATTGGTTGGATTTTCAGTTCACTCGCTAGTCTTAAATAGTCCTTCAGCAGGGGATCTGAGGACCCACTGGCCTTTGCTCAAAAGTACCGATGGACGAAAATCGATGGAGTGTCCATCCTGCAGGATTTTGTGAAACAGTGGCTTTCCTTGGCTTCCTTTTGGGTTTCATCAAAAAATCAGGTGATCCATGTGGCCATGGGTCAAAATCAAAAGCCCAGTTAGCGTGAACATCCCAGTTCCCACCAAAGTAGGTTCCCAAATGGGTGGTGCACCTACCCCAAAATGGTACCATTGGTTTTGACCCACAGCCATGTGTGAAACATTCAGTTGGAGCCGTTTCCTTTGCTTGGGGGAAGGTCATCGCACTTAGAGGTCTTAATGGTTTTCAGTGGCCCAGAATAGACACCAGTCACTGATAGTTGCCATTAAGCTGTAGTGGCTGCCCTTGCGACGGCCCGAAATCAGTATGGCATGGGATGTGGGAACGGCCCCCTTCCAACCATGACTCTTTGGGCATAGCTTTGGACAAATTGAAGGTCCTTGTGACGCCGGAACTCCCTATTTCCTCTTTGTGAGTAGTCATATATGCCCAGACTGGGAATGTTATTTTCATTTTTCTGGGAATCAACAGGAACACTTCCCTCGCAAAAACAAGCGCCTGAGCGCTCTTCTTGCGCAGAATTCCTCTTAGGATCCCTGTGGCACTTGGCCATAGGGGAAAATTAAGGAGCCCGACTTTTCCATGTTTTAAAGTTCGCTTCAAAAGGTTTTGGCTCAGGCGCCTACCAGTGGTAACCTAGTGACAGCCAACACCTGAGACACCGTTTTTACCCGCCATGGATCAGCGAATTTTCGGAGGCCCTTTCACAGAGGGGGAGACCTACCGTGGTGTTTTCAGCATACAAGGGGAAACTGGACAGCGGCGGTTTTCGGGCTACACGCCTTCATGACGGCATGAAGACCTTCCTTTTTGGTGCCGATTTACCGCTCAAGGTGGTCTCTATTTACAATGTGAGGGTCGAGACAGTACAGCCAATTCCTCTGGTGCGGGCAGAGGCCCAAACCTGGTGGGAGGCATCCAGCTCTTCCACATCCAGCTTGTCGCCTTGGCTCCTTGAGCTCTTCGCCGGCTTTGGCGGAATGTGCATCGGAGCGTCATTTCTGGGCGGCCTTCCGGGCATCAGCGTGGATTGGACTCCGCATCAGCAGAGCACCTTCGTCGCAACGGACACGGACAAGTCCTTCAGCTCGACATCACGCACGCTGATACAGCCGAGGCCAGTCACCGCGCCAGCGAGGGACGGGCCTTGACGGCTTGTTTTGGTTTTCCGTGCCAACCTTTTTCCTTGCAAGGCATGCGGTAGCAGTCCGTCCTTTCGGACAAGTTCATACAAAGCCTGAGAACCAAGGCGATGCGCTCTCTAGGCCTACAGCGGGCCGGGGCCAGCCCCATCCTCAGGCTCTCACTCTCCAGGCCACCAACAGCGGACCCCGGGTATTTCCAATGACTCAACGCGCTGCAGACAGCCAGACGTCTGTGTCGGAAATCACCGAACCTCGTTACAATGTGGGGGCAATTTCAGCAGCAGTTTGACAGACGGATCTTGGACGGCCCTTTCTCCAAGTTGGTTCAGCTACGCAGTACGGTGGGCTGGCGTATCATTTGCCCTCCCACCCTCTGGATATCGACCTCGCACAGATCGATTCACACGCACTGGAGCAGCTCGCATACGGTGCATGGTTGCAGTACGTCGCCGCCTCAGTCAGACACCGCAAAGCGCTTCAGCATCTGGACAGCCTGGACGCCGACATTTGCCAACTGGATCGCCACAGGCTGACACCACTTGAATATGCACGGGTCCAGGCCATCCAACAAGGAGCATTGATTGCTCCATGCAAGGTTTCGGAGACGCTTTTACATTGCTATTCGTGCGATCGCTTTGTGGGGATAGTGCCCTCAGCATACCCTGGCCCACCTGCTGGTCCCGAGGTCACCATCAACGCGAGATCTCAGACATGCCTTGCACGCAATCCCGGGCGACTTTGAGCCCAACCAGGGACAGGCGTTCAGCACGTCTACTCTGACGGCAGTTGCCAAACCCATGGGTCTCGAGGTATCACTTTAGCAGCTTGGAGCATCTGCAACGCAAACAACCGGACGGCCAATAGCAGGGCAACACCTTCACGGCCTTACACAATCCATAGGACGTGCAGAGCTAACCGCTGTATTAGCCGCCGCAAGATGGACGCTGAAGTACCACAGCCAGACGCGACTTTGGTCAGACTCGCAGTGCACCGTTTCCGGCACCCAACGGCTCATCTCCGGGGACCCTACCTTTTTGGCCGGTTCCCCCGATAATACTGACCTTTGGATGCAACTTGGGGAAATCATTCTGAACGGGAACAATTCCTCATCGCTTGGACTCCCGCACACATCGACCCAGTTCGTTGCGATACCCCTCTTGAAGAATGGTGCGCCGCTTGGAACGGCAACGCCGACTTCAACGCCAGCTTAGTCAACACACAAAGGCCTGCCTCACTGCTCAGGACCATTCAGCAAGACTCCGACTTTTACAGCCTCTGGACCCACAGATTAAAGCAGTTACGCGGATACTTGCTTGCGGTTGCAGAACATAGGCACCAGCCCTCACATGACCCCTCTATCTTCGAGACAGTGCAGATTATCGACGATATAGATTGGGACGAGCAGATACAATCCACATCACTGTTTGAAGCACTGCCAGGAAACTGGATGCAACTTCTCATTTCGAAAGAAGCAGGAGCGCTGACACCCTTTCCTGCTTTACTGGTCCAAGCGGTCAGCCGCATCGAGGATGAATCGGCAAATTTTTGTGCCGTGAGCTACATCGAGCTCGCGCTTTTACTCTGCAAGCAGGGTGACTTTCAAATCCCTGCGTCGCAAGACACCCAGCAGTCCGCGCCTCTCAGGCCAATCTGCACTCTTTTTGTCAGGCCCACTCTATCAAGGGTGGTACACCGGACCCGCGCTGCATTTAGTCTCCTTCTTGAGACGACGGGGCTCGAACGCTACAGGCGGTTCGGTCTCAACCGCAGCACAGGGGGCATCTCTTTCCCATGTGATGGACTGGTACTCCAGGTACCAGTCCTCACTGTGCACGGAGCTTTCGAGGCCGCCAAGGAATTCACATCTCATCGCGGCTTTCGGCGATCCGCTTTGAGCAGACCAGAACAGGCACCGCCGCACTGCTGCCGCCGTGCGCCGTTGCCGCAAGAGAGAGTTCGCGCTAGAGTTCGCGCGAAAGTTCGCTTCAAGGGAAGGCCATCCCAACAACTCGCCTGGGCGCAATGAGCTCACCCACTTGCGGGATCCCCTTCGCAAAAAGGCCCCGTCACCATGAGGCAATGCAACAGGAGCACGGTGTTTTTTAGCGCCACTCACGCAGGTAATGAATTCAGTTGCACCTGATGGCACTGACTGTTTGGCTTTTGTTTTATTACCAGCATATCAAACGTATTCACGCGTTCGAACACGCACCCTTGTAAATTTCAAGCACGCAGAACGCGCCAAGAACTCAAGGCAAGGGACATAGACTGCGAACGCGAAGGCGCGACCTTCCAGGACATGAGGTCTAGGAGTACGTTGGGCAACCTGACTTTAATCTTGTTATCGTTAAATGTTGACCCCGGAGTAATAAGCCCATGTCTATATATATATATATGTGGGGGTGTCCCTGGTTTTACTGGGGGTTTATCACTTTTGGAGGGGAACACCCCCATATTAATAATCAGGGGTTTATTGATCCGTGGTCAACATGATCAAAGCGCATTGACTTTTTCACCCTCTTAAAAAGAAAGGCACGCATGCACTTCCATGTTTGCATCGTCTCTTTTGAGCTGAGGGGTTCCAAATGGAACTTGGGAGAACCCCAAGCTCGGGGAACCTGCGAACTTAGGGCCAAAGACCCACGCTTTGTTCTCTTTCCTTTTGAACAAATGCAACACGTTGGTTGTGTGTGGGTGTGTCTTGGGTGTGTCTTTTCCTATACACATAGTCGCCTTGTGTCTTTCCAAGCATCTACAACAAGGCGTTCCCCCAAACACATGCACAGCAGATTCCCACTTATTGGTGGTTTGGCTTGGTGGTTTGGTCCAAGTTAGTGGGAGGTGTCCCTTGTACCCTCTACCGAAGCCAGCGGTTCAAATCCCCAAGCCACCAATCCAAACCGCCAATTCAGGCTTAAACAAACCAATCCAATCCAAACCGGGGGGGTCTTTCTCCTATTTTTTGTGGAACATTGTTCGACCTCGTAGTGAAGGATTCCTTTTAAGGGGGTCGCCCATTTTCTCACAAAAGGTGGCAAAAAGACCCCCCTGATCCAAACCCCCAATTCAAACCCCCAAACCCCCAAACCGCTAAGAGCAAGCAGTTTTTCCTGTTTTTCTGGGGGTGGTGGGTCGTTCCTGGCGTGCAACCGCGAGGCCCGGCGAGCAGAGCCAGGCGACAGAGGTGGGCACTGGGTTTCGGCGTATGACCCGCCCACTCCCCTCGTGCCACGGACGTAGCGTCTATTTTGCAGCCAAGAACCCCAAAAAAGTGAAGGAGGTTGCAACATAGGCCCTACGTGCCCACCATACTCCCCCCCTCCGGCACCTGGCAACCTGTTGTGTTTGATTGTGGCATTTTCCGGTACTTTTGCCCAACTTCCCACCTTGATCTAGACTGACCCCATGTGTTTTTTTTTTGGGGGGGGCGCAACAAAACCACAAAATGGTCTGCCAGTTTCATCCCACTCTGACTTCCGCCTTCTCGGCCCCGGGGCGCCCTCCAGGCGCGCCGGGCCTCGCGGATCTGATGGCGGGGGCGGCCAAGCGGGGAATTTCTGGTTGGGGCGGACGGGGATCGAGGCTTACGGCTGAAATGGCTGTGGCTCAACACCAAAAATATCAACCCTTGGCTGGTAGGTGGGTTCACCCATTTTAGAACCTATTTTAGTGGGGATTGGGATGTTGACTGGGGGTACGATTTGGATTTTGACCCACGGCTGAAATGGATGGGGCCTCAGCCCAGAGTGCAGGGTGGTCCAGGAGTCCGGCACGGCTCTTTGAGGTTCTGCGAGGGTTCCGCGAGGGTTGGGCAACTGTTTGACAACCTCAGTGAATGCTCTTCTGCTTCATGTTCTCCTCGCCAACATGCACTCAGGCGTTGCCCAAGGACTGGGTTGGAGGGGGGGTTAGTGGGTGGTTGGAGCCGGGGGGTGGGGGTCGATCGGATCGAAGTGTTTGTTCACTTGCAATCTTCCTAGGGATTTCCTGTGGAGTACAATAGCTTGAATGCTCCCTACGACAAGCGTGTGTCTGACTTTGGCAATTTGGCATAGCTTTCACCAGTTCTGATCGCCCCACAAAGGGGGTTGAAACGATCTGATTTTGGTCGCTTTATCCGCTGTTGATCCCCTGCTCTGCGAACAACGAGGGGATGAGATCAGATTACTTCTATGACGGTCTTCGACTATCTCCACCGGACTGCAGAACGCTATCCTGCCGCTGGATTTAGTGCGCAGCAACCACTTGCTTGGTTCTGTTCCACTCTTTTGCCCCTGTACGTCGCGCTGCTTAGCCACGCGCGCGTGTTTGGCTGCCAAAGGTGCTGAATGCCCAGAGTGGTTGCCAGAAATGCGTTGGTGCTGCTGCGTATGCGGGTGGCGGCATCACTTCTTGTTGATACCCAAGCAGCTTGATAATGCGGCTTTGCACAGCACAACATGCTAAGGTGTTCACTATGGTCCCTGATTTGCAGGACGAATGTGTGTTTTTTTGCAGGACCAATTTGTGGATGCCCAGTGCTCAGGGCTGGACTGGGGTCTCTCCAAAACCAAAGTCATTTTGCTCATGGCCAAATTTGGTTTCAACATACCCCACCCCCGTTCCAATTCATTTTCGCCCTAAGGGTTGTTCCGAACCTTGAAATGACCAAAGTAAGTTGCGATTGGGTCCTGTCTCCGTGTTTCAGAGGCCGTCAGCCTGGCAACATGCTCTCAGGAGACGCCCAGACCCAGACAGCCGCAGTGCCGGGAGGATGTGCTGCAAGCCTATGCCACTTGGCACTGACTTGGATTTGGGGTGAGGTGGTGGTGGAAGATTCGCTTTCATGTAGGTGTTTGCCGCTTTCTGTGAGGGGCCAAGGGAATAAAGACAATATATAATGTGTTTTCGGGTTGGGATGGGAATCAACCGCTTTGGTATAAGGCCTCATGAAGACCTTGACAAGCGTCTACCAAACCACAATGGGTTTTGGGACCCCGCCGCAAGTGCGGCTATGGACGCACTTATCACAGATCTACAGATCGCCGATGGATCTGACGGATTTGCGAGTTCAGGACCCTTTGCTGAGGGACATTAGGACCCCTAGTCCGAGAAAGGTTTGAAACATCGTACTCCTTTCGGGGTGGCTTCCGGGTGTTGCGATGGACGCACAAGTATTTGGGTGCCAAAACGAGGGGCTCCTTCCAGATGGTTGCCCCATCCCCTAAAAGGGTTCCTTTTTTCTGGGCTTCCCTGCTGTGCCCTTCGGTTTTTAGTATTTTTTGGGTTTAGTGGTGGGTTCCGCTTCACCCTCTAAGAGTTTAACTTTTAGCAGCGGATCTGAGGACAGCCCAGTTTTGACACATCGAGGAATATGAACGCTAAAAACTGACCAGGCCAACTGGCCTTTCCAGAAATCTCCATGTGTGTCACGGCCAGCACATGAAATTGCCAAAACATCTTTCTACGGCGCTTGAAGGGGACCGAATAATCCTGCTGACCCTAAATTCGTCCCAAATTGACCCTGAACTCTAACCTAAACTACACCCACTGCTACTTCGAGTTTACAAAGCCCCCATCAGCCTTGTGGCAGCCAAGATCAAGGCCTGGGTAACTCAAGCAGGGTGTTATGTCCAGCCATAGAGGCACATTCTCTTGAAGGTACTTTTATGGGGGGCATTTCCCTCACTTCCCCAGATTCACGACTTGAAGTTTTTGTGGCAATCTTAGCTTTTGTCCCTTTCTGGCCAATCCACGGAAGCGCTTCCAGCCTTCCACCAACAATTTCACTTGCGACTCGCACGACTGGTCAACATATTCTTTAGGGTGGGTAGCCGTGATCAACCTCTTAGAGCTCTTCGACAATGCACGCGTTCCGGCCACTGAGAGTGCCATGACCATGGGCCAGAAATTCTCAGTTGAGCAGAGTTTTTTTGTAGCGCCCCGAGCCGCGTAGGCTGGAATAGTGTGCCTGCGCAGTTCGCGTAGGCCCCGTAGGCCTTTTTTTACGTCGGAACTGCTCAGTTTAGTTCCTGGCGCTCGTGTGCCTCGCACCTTTCCTTGCAGCGTGTGAGGCAGAGTACTACGAGGCGTGTCTCCGGGCGTGGAGGGAGTGGCCAACGCACAGTGCGAAGGGCGTACAAGCAGACCGTTTGTTTGTTTGTTTGTTTGCTTGCTTGGCTGCTTGCTTGCTTGCTTGCTTGCTTGCTTGCTTGCTTGCTTGCCTGCCTGCCTGCCTGCCTGCCTGCTTGCCTGCCTGTTTGCTTGTTTGTTTGTTTGTTTGCTTGTTGGTTTGTTTGTTTGTTTGTTTGTTTGTTTGTTTGTTTGTTTGTTTGTTTGTTTTTGTTGCTGCTTCATCCTTTGGCTCAAAACTTATCATTGTCCTTTGTGCGAATGAATCAAATGCACATGTGCAACGTTATCGTATCGATATTAGTGTGCACCTGTGGCTAGCCGACGGGCACGCGATGCACCGGTTTCTGCGAATTAGTCTCAACCGCTGTTCGTTTGGGGAATGTACGGACGAGTCGAGCTATGGGTGTGACTTTTCTAGGGGTCCCGTCAAAATGGTGGTTTTGCTTTTGGTTTCCCCTTAAACCAGTCCTAAAAAGGGTACCCTCAGAGAAGACACACCCAGTCAACATGTCCTGCGGGAATTGCAGATGGTCCTTTAGCCCCCTACTTTAATCTTGGTGGCTCCCAGCCATCCGGTTTCTTAGCTTTTTAAATCTTTCTAGTTGGTTTTGTGGGGTTTCCATTTAACCCACTAAAGTTGTCAACTTTTAGCATGGGGATCTGAGGACAGCCCAGCCCAGTGACTTGCGTTTGAGGCAATCATTTCAAAGGGTGCGCCGCAAATTTCGGGATGAGCCTCAAGTCCCAAATCAGGACTTTCAGACAAGGGCTCAAAAAAAGGAGCAAGGATATCAAGCTCCGATGTGGATTTGAGACAATTGCAATGATGGGCACATGAGGTTGGCCAGGATTAACAGTAGTCCATGGTGGGTTGCAAGGGACAAGGAGAATTGAGTGCTTGGATACAAGTCAAGGATGCTATTGCTTAGCGCCATGCGATACATTTCAGCAAGCCACCAGTCTCACTAAAGGTTGCAATGAGCTGGCAAAGTGTTTCACATCGATCCAAAGAGCGACCCGAACCAAGAAGGGACAGCCTTTGAACATCCTCCGAGCGCTTGTTTAATGAACCGGCAGTGGGTCAAAAAAACAAGAACAAAATGGGAACCCTGGTAAATGGAACCATGGCTCAAACCTGTGGTCCAATTCATGGTTTAATTTTGACCCACACCCAACTCTCTCTCCTTCCCCGGCCTCGATCTTTGGCCACCGACCTTCAGAGACAAACTTTGGCTCGCGCCTTTGCTCTCATACGGAACATGTGGCTTTAAAATAGGCCGCGCGGTTCAAACTACCGTTAAGAAGCAATCATTATCCATGTTGGGTCAACCATTCTTTTTTTAAAGCCCGGAATCACAGGCCTTACAGTACCAAAAAGTTTCGCTCGGGCCACGTGATCAAAACCCTGCCTGTCGGGGCCGTTGGTTTCCAAAATGGATGCGACGGGGGGGGGGTCCACGTTTTCGAACAACGAGTTGACTGTGGGAAATTAAAATCTGAGATTTGGATGTGTCTCTTGTTGAGGGCACCGCTTTGTGAGTTTTAAAGGGAGACCAAAAGGAACAAGGTTGCGCCTCTTCGGGGACCAAATCCTAAAAAACTAGTACAACGTGGATCCCATGGTTGGCGGACCTCCTTTTTGGCTGGGCTGCACATGGCACGTTCCTTGGGAGGTCGGATTTGAGCAGATGCCCAAACCTCTACCACGTTGGCTCCCCTCAATGTGAATGAGTCCGAGTCCGGCTGCGTTCGTCTGAGCAGGAGTAATCAACCGGTTGAAGAAATAGGGGGCTGTTCCATTTTGGAAGGAACCCTTTATTTTTGTTACGAAGCACCCCCCCAATCCACCCAGGTTGATTTATTCGCGGTCGAATCTTGTTTCCCGTTCGAAGGCCTACAAGCAGCGTCAACATGATGCTGACAGTCCGTACAAGTAGCGAACCTTGCGACCAATTTTCCGCAGAAAAAGCACAAGTGGACCACTTCTCAATAACTGAGATGAAAATATATAGTCCCCTTGATACAGAGAGGTGTGGCAAGTATCCGGCCTTTTGTTTCTTGACCTCTTTTTTCTTTTTCTGTGGACTCATTTTCGGATCTTAGGTTTTGCTTCTGACTCAAGTTAGATCAGCCTGAGGAGGCTGCAAGCTCACATAAAGGCTTTTCACCCACTCGCGACAAAAGCTGTCCTGGATGGGAACACTGGCGACTCAGCCTTTTTCTTCCCCCTCTTGCGCGTTTAGATGACGCAAAGGCTCAGGCTAAATCCAACCTTCGGTTAGAGAGAGAGTCCGCCCTTTCAGTGTAGATTGAAGCCGGCCAAAATCGCGCCAGCCTTCAGATGGTAGGTCTCTTTCGGCAGTCTTGGCGAAACTGTTTGGCTTTTGAGTTTTCTTCAAGCTGAATTCTTTGCAACTGCTAACTTTGGTTGCACTTAGTTCGTTTCCGGTTTCCTCATTTTCCTTGTTCACAAGCAAACTGCTAACTTTGTTCTGCCGGACATTTGGACATTTGGATATTTGTTCAGAATCGCTGTGGTGTCCCATGCCGGCCGTCAAAGACACACCGATTTCCTAGTTTGAGAGTCGCCGAACACGCGATTGCCAGAAGTAACTGACCCGAAGATGCTGACAACTGCAGTTTGTTTCCGGTAGCCTCCATGTTTTTCCTTTTTCTTTAGGGTCTCACCGACTTGGGAAAGGATCCATCGAAGGCCAAATTCGGATCGCGTAATAGATGGTGGTTCTCTCTTACTGAAGTCTGGCACTTGGAGCCACCGGCAACCTACCGGAGAGAGGCGAGCTGTTCGCCAATCCATTCTTCCATTTGCTTAAGAATATGTGTTTTTTCTTGTTTGTTTTTCTACAGGAATTTATATTTATCACTACTGTTTTTTTTTTCCTCCCGGGGGTGTTAACCAAATGGAAGCATTGCTTTGCCTCAGCTGTATCTCTGGGCACTTGGTATGACCCCCCCCATGGCCAAGTTTGCCGAGCTGGGTGCTAAATAGGTCACAAAATGTGAGTCATCCAAAGGGAGACCAACACGGGACGAGGTTGTGTGTATTTCTCTACACCTATTTAGCACCCAGCAAGGATCAAGAAGTGTCCGGCCTCCAAAGATGCAGCTGAGTTGCGCGTGCTTTGCACGCATCTGCGGTCCATGGTCTCAGTGAGGGATGCACTGCTCGAGCAAGTGCAGCGGCATCATAGAATCTTCTACACACGCCAGACACCTCTGCAAATCCGGGCAAATTTCAGCGACTTTGCCAGGGATCCCTCCATCCCGATTGACACCATCAGAAACGGCCACCTTTTCGGCTTGGCAGGTATTCCAATAGACGGCCCAAACGGAGCCAACCGTTCACACAGGAAAACACACCTGGGGTAGACTTAG